TGGGCTGAGGTCTGGCGCACCGACTGCCTTATAAAATGCCGCAAGTCCCAATAACGGCACTGTGACATGGCGAGCGTGAACCGCCACTAAATAGGCTTGCTTGCCATCACCACCACCAGCACTGCCTTGTGGTTAGGTTCTTTGACCAAAGTACTAGAGGAGACAACGTCGAAGAAAGAATCCGAGCGGCTGTTTGGTACCCGCCTGTATTCAACATTCCAAAGAAACCTCATGTCTGCTTACTCTACTACGACCCCTAGTTCACGTTACTGTAAAGCAATTCACGCGCAACTCACCAACTTTGCGCCCCACTTCTCTAAGGTTCACAGTGGACCTTAACCGAATCTGCGGTCGAACCGTCTTGTGCTCCATTGCGTGCATCCCAAACCGATTAATAAGTTACTTTACGCCGGTGCTGCTTCACCGATCTGATTCTCGATCCATCATGTTTCGAGGTTCCGTAATGCAGCCCTTGTAGGCAGCCGTGTGGTGGCTATTCAGTAGTAACTGCTGGAATAAGTCAGGGCCGTGACGGAAAGTAAGTGGTCGTACTTGGCCGAAGGTTGCTGTGACTACGTCCAAAAATTCCGTTGTTTTGTTCAACAATAAGGCCGTTAAGGTCATGTTTTCTCAGAAAAGAGTGTTTTCAGGCCAAAGAATAGTTCGTCCGGTATTGCGGCCGCCGTTGCTAGTGCGCGTTGGTTTATAAGCTTGGCTCGGATTGTCGGTATCCTGAAAATTCCCACTCTGAAGATCACTCGATCGACAGTATCTACTTACGCAGGACACCAGATCGACTTTAGCATGATAGTTCTTGTCTGTTCTCTCCTGCGCAAAGTTCTTGTTCATGACTAGACAAGCGAGGGGGAAGTGGACGAGTGTGTGTCATCCTTAAATCTTGACCACCATCTCCCCGCATCTGTGACAAAAATTGATTAACGACATTTCCCTCCATTGCGGTTCTTTTAGTATTCAGAAGGGGTCAGTCTGTAGTTCTGCCAACATGCACTACGTCATGCAAAATTGACCAAACTTGTTCCCTTCGGTAATCAACGGCCTTTTTATTCCCTTTTCAACAGTCGGCGTAGGCAACAAGGTCTTTGCGCACCAGCTGGGACCACGGTTGGAGCACGTTTTTCTGATTGAAAACACCGGCAAACCCGAACTCGACAATGCCACCCTACAGTTGGATATACCAGTCTCGACCAACGATGGTGACCTTTTCGTCTACCTCAGCGACCGGGTGCGTCGCCAGCCAAACGCACATTCCAGTAAGTTGACCGGGGGATGAATGACTTTCCTTGGGGGATTTTATTTGTCTGCAAGTTCCATGTACTCGCTCTAACCACGGCAGCAAAAAGGTGCGCACAGAGGACGGGGGAGGAGTTTCCTAAATAGATTTCCGTTTAAGCGGAGTCGGACAAACGGGTCTGACAACTGCCGGACCCTTCCTTCCGAAACTCAAAAACCGGTGAACAGTATATTCAACCCTACCTTTTGAGATGATACTTTGTTTAGGGTAGGTTACAGTAATTAATCGGAGAGCAGAGTTCTGTTTTTCAATAAATGTATAAATAAATTTGGGGGCACTCATCGATCACGGTCACTATCGAGTCTCACCAGCAGCCACCGAGCGGCTAGTAATTTAGGCACAGAATAGCATTGCCTATGAAGACAAGGGCGACTAGAATAGCCATTCCTAGCTTATTAGCCGTCGTCAGCCATCCGTACCCAACTTCAGGTAGTGCACCAGACGAGGCTCGAATCCGCACAACGAGCCCGCTGCCTCGTCGGATTTTGATCGGGAATGCTAACACTGGTGGATGGGCGCTAACCGATCGGTTACGGAACTCATTCGCCCTTATGTGGTTTTGGGCTCGCTCTTTAGCTCCGCTAGCAACCACAGTTCAGCTTATAGTATAGGCAGAAAGGAATTGAGAGAGAGAGAATACTTGCTTTATTTAAGATGAAAAATCCTAAATTTTCAGCAAAAAATGGCTCCATTTATTGACAAAGACCAGGGAGAATGGAATGCCCATTGCTGACTTATTACTTGTCATCAGCCATCCATACACAATCTGAAGTGTTGCAGAACCTGAAGCTCGAACCTCCGTTCTGTTGGTTAGAAGTCCAGCACCGTATCATTGAGCCACGGGCTAGTTGTTCTGTCGGTTGTCATCTGGTATATGTTGCTGATTTACCCGATCGCAACCGCCAGGACAAGGAACCCGTGGTCCTTAGGCTTCTAACCCGCAAATTATATGTTCGATCTCCAGAGGTTGCACTACCTGGAATCGGGTTTGGCTACCTGGTAATGGTTATTACACCAGAAATCGCCCATAAATGTGCCCGAGCAAGGAGTCAGGGAAGTGTAATTTCTGGCTATTATGCCAAAAGTTATGTTTTCTGGTAAAAGTGAGAAGGCGAGTTCCAGGGAGCCTTCAGGAAAGAGATAGAATGGCTGGAAAAGGGTTTCAGTCGTCTGATGTTTTAAACTTCCTCTGAAATTCGCCCTAAAGGACAGAAGGAACACGTTTTCCCCTATCTGATCTCGCCTCTGATGATGGTTTCTCGTGTAAATCCGGAACGTCAAGTGAATAAAACTTTTATTCCACTGATCGGATCTCCCTCTTCCCGGAATGCTCCTTTTTGAATGTTTAACAGGCACAAGGACGCCTTTAAGCATTAACCCAGCCTTCCAGACATAGGCTCAGTACTGTTGTTCACAGAGTAGTGAACGTGATGCCAGTCTCCCTGCAGGTTTTTGCCTGACAGCAATCGAGAAAAAAGTGAAGTAATTTTCACGGTAAATACGTACCAGTTAATTCGGCAATCTTCGAAGTAAGGGTCATTGGAGTTGTATACTGCCAAAGTATTCTGTACTTTCAAGCATTACAGTTTAATAAATTAGTACAGTTTTACACAGTGGGTATAAGAATCCGAAATTTGGTGTATTTTACCTGTACGTGAACTAGCTGTAGTCGTAAACTGGTTGACTACAGCCCCGAGTACTGCAATACAGCCTATATGCAAATCTTCCGGAATATTTTTCGAATTCCTTTACCTGTGTTGCCTTCGTATGTCCAGGAATCTTTTAACTGCGATTATACCCTCTAAAAACAAAAATAAATGCTTGTCTGCCAGGGGGACTATGATGGTCATTTATAGTTTCTTTACTTTCCCCCAGTGCCCCTATTCCTGCCACGTCGAGAAAGGCCCAAAAGTTGAAACCGAATAACTTACTTCGTTTAGAGGCAGATTCCTGTACTTTCGTACTGGAAATTTTAGTCCAGGTCTTGGAAATATCTCTTTCCAGAATAAAAAGCCTTCAACAATATGAACCAATCGTCGATCAGAATACAGCCCTTTCTCGTTAAGAAAGTTCACCGATCACTACCGGAACTCACTCGTATCGGTCTGTCTTGGATCTCATTTCTCGGGCCCTGACAACAGCCGTTGTGGCTAATATTCAAAGGCAGATAGTATTGCCGACAAAGACAGGGGAGACTGGAGTGGTCATTTCTGGCTCATTGCCGTCGTCAGTGAGTTATACACAAACCCAGATAGTGCCCTACCCGAGGCTCGAACTCTCGACCTTTTGATCGGAAGTCTACCACCCCAACCATCGAACCACGAGCTATCTGCCCAGACTACTAGTCGTTGCCTACTAGGCCCATCTTCGTCAGTTAGCATGGAAACATATTCTTTTCTAGGCAGGTAATTCCTTATGTCAGTCCAGCCTCCCGACTGCTATTAATCATAGCAGCTAACGACAGGCGCAACCTTTGCTCAGCTGGTACTTCCCCTATCGTTGAAGGACGGAAATTCACCTGCATGGTCCTTGGACCTGTCTCGGGGATCGAGCCTCGGTTTTACGACTGTTCCCGAGAAAACGACGTCTATTACCTGATTTCAGAGTTGAAATTATGGCGCCTAACTGCGAATGTTTTCTACGGTTTTCACAGTTCCGGCTTGAGAGACTGATCTGTTGTCTTAATATTACACTCATCGGGCATATTCGGCGGCTGCTGAATTGTCACAGAAATCGGTGACTTGG